AGGCCCCCTCCCCCTTTCAGTTGCAACACTTGCCCACTGCCTCCGTCAGATACCTGACACTAACATGACTACCGTATTCGACGTAATAAGCGCCCCGCTCTAATAAGCGCCCACGGCGATATTTGCTAATATATTGGCAAGTGAACAATCCCAATTAGCACCCCTTCCGATTGATCAAAGTACACAAGACTTATTTATTCGTGTATAATACGCACTTGTGTGGTATATGCACCCTTAATTATGGGGAATTAAATTCTGGAATCAGCATAAACCACAAAATTTATCTTTCAACTCTGTTTTTTCCACCAAAATAATTTTCTAATAAGAGCCCCCTATTTCTAATTTTGAGAGCGCCCTTGGCGCTTATTACGTCGAATACAGTAATACTTACAATGAGTCTTTTGAAGTCAGTCATTTCATTTATTTATGGATCCTTAAATACTATAAAGAAGTTCTTTGAAAGACCTTTATAAGGCTTTAAATTTGGTGACTGAAGTCTGCATAAACCATGGTCATACTGACACAATCATATTTATTACCCATACTTTTCATGCTTAGGTAACTGGAAGTTATTGAGATTAATCTAAAACATTAGTTAAAGCAGAAACATTCTGTGTGACAGTGGGAATCCATAATCGTGAATGTCAAACATTATGATCATGGTAAAATAACTGCACTATTCATTGTTTGATAGGCATTACTTAGAAGATGTCATGCTTGATAACGGTATAAGGATCTATACCGAAATGTCGCTTTTTACAGTATTAAAGAAGTTCTTATCCACAAAATTGTGTCTACCTTGCACTATTCATGATAATGATTATATTTTGTTATGATATTTTTGTACCAGTGAGTGAAGGCGACTTCACAGATTTTAATATTATGGCACAAATCTTTGATGTCAATTCAGAGATGACACACCCAATTTGACAATGCCGAAGCGAAAAAAAAAAACAACTGATTTGAATTGGATTATTTCAAGCCACCTACAGGGGTGTTGCCAGGCAGGAATTGAATATTTCAGATGTACACAAAGACTGTCTCAGTTCATCCAAGCGACTAAATTGAGTCCTTATCAAGATTTGATGTGTCATGTGTTATAGAGGAACTCGCAAGACGTTTATCAGGTGACTAGTCTGTCGTTATCAGGTGGGTCTAACCCTGCTCCTAGCCAGGGCAACATGTGTTGGTTACTAAGATATGAACAAATTTATAACCATTTCTGTCACCGTGTGTATTCAGTCCTTGATTTAATGGTTTATGTTCATTTTGGTCGACTGATACGGCTTGTTTGCCTAAGCTGGGCCTGTCTGTCGTCTCGTGAGCTATACAAGTATTCAGGCTGCATGCGTGGCACTTTAGCTGTAGATGACGCGGCAACGGAATACTCTTCTTTTACTCGGTCTTTTAAAGCTTTCTTTGCCCTTCTCACATTTCATCCATACACAGCATATGTTTATGTAGACCCAATTAATTTGCATTTCCATTGCACTGAACCATCGCTGAACAGGTCACTTCACTCTGTTCTCAGGCTATTCAAATTTTTCAGACTGAAATCTCGATGGACTAGTCTCTAGCTCCAAGTTTCCTCCATGTTGCTGTGTACTCTAGATAGGTCAATAAATTAAAAGCTGGAGAATATTGACATGAAAGTTCACTTTGTTCGTGTGTGAAATGTTGACGGACAGTATGCGGCTTTTGTGTGGTGTATTTGCACATTAAGTGATGTGTTGGGTGATATGAGGGGCTGAAGGGCTCGTGTGGCCTCGTCCTTTATTGGCTGGCTGCGTCTTTCTTCTTTGACATTGCTGGTATATCAAGTTAATTGCCCGTGTGGAATAAGGTAATAATGAATATGTTGACACAACCTGCTCATCTCTGTAGATAAATTAACTGACTCAAATCTTAATTATTTGGGGAAGAAATGGAGCGTGGGGGATCTGTAGACAGAAACATGATTGGAGTGTGTGGAGCGAGTGAGTGATTTGAGTTTTGGACAGTATTTCAGTATATCATCAGGGTGCATTATTTTTATGCATTGGTTTATCACTCTGGACATGCCGACGACTAGTAGTTGGATGATACACCAATGCATCGGTGGATCGCAATTTTTTACTCCTCAATACAAGTATTGATCACAGCCACACACTTAGTAAAAAATATCTATTCTCACCTTAAATGTTTGCTTTCATAACTGTTAAACCAAACACTAGTTTGAAGTGAAAATTGGTAGTGAAATCGTACGTATTTTCATTCATTGCGTCATACTTTAGACTGCCATATGTAAAGTTTGCCAGGTATTTGGCCATTCTGTCTATTAAAGAAATGGCTTACACACCACAGATAAGAGCAGGTGCAAGTATCGTGATACCTATCGGACCGTGAGCAAGGTATCGTGATACGTATTGGATCGCCCTACTATCGTCCCAGCCCTACTAAAGACCTGGGTTCTACCCACACACATGGATATGTTGCTGGTGTGACAGCTGTTATATTGCTGGAATTTTGAAAAATATCCAACTGTATTCACTCACTCAAATATATCCCTGTGTGTCAGCGTCATATGTAAGAAAAAGCCAAAGTGATTCAGGTCAGTGATATTTACGATTCTTGTGAAACCCAGAAACGGGAAGGAGGGAGGGAGGGAGGGATTTAAGTTTCCTAAAATAAATGAGACAATGTCATAAATATAGTAAGTTAAACCAACTTTGTCCTTCATACTTACTACACCTAGGTCATAGCAACAACATCAATGTCAGTCTGCAATTCTCCAACAATCATATTTCTAAATCTGGATGTTTAAAAATCCCCAAGGTGTTGATAACTTTCTGATGCGTAGGATTAGCTGCCATTGATGAATTTTGAAATATGTTTTGATCAACATTTAACGTGTTTATTAGTGCAAATTGTAAACCAGTGTTTAAAATAATACTCCATGTAGTGGTTTACTTGTGTTTATCAGTTGACTTTGACATTGTTTCAAGAGTGAGTGAGTGAGTTAAAATTTAACGTCACATCGGCAATATTTCAGCCATATCGTGATTGTTTCAAGAGCATTGGGGGGGGGGGATGGGTAGCCCAGTTGTCTTAGGTGCCGCAATCCGCCGTGCAGAGTTGCATCCCTTAGGCACGCCAGTAATCTATGATTGTGGGTTCGAATCCCGGTTCACCTCAATAACGTTTCTAGGTTTGTCAGCACCACCCCTGTGCTCGTGGGTTTCACCGAAGTGAGACCTGCATCCCACATTAAGCTGACACGCTGCAATGTAACTGTAATACTGTTAAAAGTGGCGTTAAACCCAACTCACTCACTCACTCAAGAGCATGGGGGTCCCAGTGGCTACAGGCTTCACAGCGTGCTGGTCATGTGTCTCTAAGTCCAGAGTCACCCTGATCCTTGATCTGTCAACACCCAAGATGTGCCTATTGTTTCACTGTAATAAAAACTGTGGCAGCTTAGAACATTGACTAAAGGGGATGCCTATTAAAACCATACGCAAGTTAAAATTGTTGTCAGAGATAGAGTGGAAGAGGACAGACATAGTTCAAACTTCCATGAAATTTACAATATTATGATAATACTTCATGTCTTGGCAGTACATGGTATACCCTTTGCACACTGCTGTGCTTATGGTAAAAAGATCTGTAATGTGCACAAGAAAAAAGAGATTGTCGTTCATATTTTCAGTGTTATCACTTGGCAAGAAAATATGGATTGTTGCTAAAATTTTCAGGCTTTGTACCAGACGCTTTTCAAGAATACTTAAAGTCTAGGAGCTGGGTCGGGATCGCCAGTTAGGGCAGGGCAATTAATATGGCAAATATGGTATGTGTTTCAACCAACTGGTAGACGTCAATGACAAGCATGAACTGATTCACTCTCCACCAGGCTTTCTACCCACATTGAACTAATATGCCATGATATAATTAAAAACTGTTCAGCATATTCAGAGCAGTGTTTAACCCACACTAAGTTTTTAGAGAGAGAGGTCTCCAACCTGTCATCCACTTTTCAGTACAAGGATCAGTGGACTGCGTTCTATATTCTCCCCAGAGGTTTTCTTTACTTCTTAAGGGGGCACGGGTGGCCCAGTCGTCTAAGGCGCCGCGATTCGCTGTGCAGAGTTGCGTCCCTTGGGCACGACAGAAACCTATGATTGTGGGTTCGAATCCCGGTTCGCCCCGATTATGTTTCTAGGTTTGTCAGCACCATACCCGTGCTCGTGGGTTTCACCGAAATGGTAAACGTCTGAGACCTGCATCACTTCGGGCTTTCCTCCCACATTAAGCTGACACGCCGCGATATAACTGGAATATTGTTAAAAGTGGCGTTAAACCCAACTCACTCACTTTACTTCTTAAAAGCATAAGGTATTTACTCAAATGATCTAGTTCAAGGCATTTGAAGTGTCTACTGTTTCTGCAGTATATGATTGTTTATAAACGCTTACTATAAGCATGATAAAGAAGAGAGAAAAATAAGTTTGATATGAAGTAAAGTTTGGAAAATCAAGGTAGGATTGTAAATTGTGTTTATTAATGTGTTACGATGAAAAGTGTGAGAATTGTAGATCCTGTATGTGTGACTGCCTGTAACCATGGTAACATGGTACAAACTGATTGAAGCATGGAAATACAGATTGGAATAGATTACTGCACAAAATTACATTTATCAGAAGTTCCACAGTCATTTATGGAGATATCCATGGAATCTGATTGACAAAAAAATGCACCTAAGTTTATTGAGTCCTCAATGTATCATGATACAAACTTGCCAGATTGCATTTCTCTTCGTCTTGACCTCTTGTAACCCCTGAATCGTTTGAAATTTGAAAAGTCAAACTGGCTAAACAATGGCGTCCTTACTGGTGGCATATGAACCCCTGACTTCATATCTGCTTATCGTATCCTAATATGGCTTATCAGCCAGCACGAGGGGGGAGTCGGGACCAGGGGAGTCTGAACAAGGGCGTGTGTTGAAACTGCTGTTTGTTTTGTAGATCATGCCACCGAGCTGCGTCTGGCTCAGGAGAAGATCGCTGAGTTTCAAACTTTGTGTGGGGCCCTCAAGACTGAGGTGAGTTGACCCTTAGGAGATATACCTGGGTAGTTAACGAGGATAGGTTTCACCGCCTCATTAGCAAGATCAGATGCACAGGCTGTCCCTTGCCATGTGTTGAATATGTATAAGCAGGGTCTATACCAGGGATTCTTCCAGCATGGTTTAAAATGAATAATTCAGATAAAGAATTATCTATGCTTGTCTGCAGAATATATTTTATGATTGCGATAAGTAAAGAAGTCCTAGTATATAAAGGTCTTAAATTTAAAAGTCCATCATTTTGAATTCAGGTTTCAAACAAAATACAGTAAACTACGTTTATAATGAACACCCTTATAACGAACTGACAGATATAATGAACTGTTTTGGGGTCCCGTTCATTTTCTGTATATATGCTTTTAACGAACTAGAGTTATAACAAATTTAAATTAGTGGTCCTTAGGGTTCGTTATAACTGTAGTTTACTATAACGTGTATTGGAGTGCCAATGGCACAGTTACAATCGCATAAGTTTAACTGTTAAGATAACTTCTTGGTTTCTGAGTGGCACACTTAGAGATCATATTTAAAATAACATGATGCCTTGTGAGGGTGTATATTATACAAAGCCAGTGATAAATGTACACTGTGATGACATTAAAGATAAATATTAAAACACTCTTATTGCACAGTATGATTCAGAAAATAAACCTGGGTACCAAAACCTGAACAGGATGTTATCAATCTCAGTAAAAGAAAAGGAGGCAAACTTTCTGAATTACAACCACTTTTTGTCTAGCTCATCGTGAAAAATACAATCACATTGATTCTCTTAATTTCTAAAGGACACACCTAAACATCTTTTGGGTGCCCTATGGCACGTTTGATCTTTCTATCCCAGTTTTAACCCTTGCACCCAGAGGATGGGTGGTAATGCTGAAATCTACTAAAATGGCAAAGAAAAGAATAAAAACACCAAAAAATCTGATAGCCCCTTTCATACATTATACTTCAACTTGATGTCCTTCAAATTCCCAATTACAATTTATTTATTCCATGGGGTATGATTCAGAAAATAAACCTGGGTACCAAAACCTGAACAGGATGTTATCAATCTCAGTAAAAGGAAAGGAGGCAAACTTTCTGAATTACAACCACTTTTTGTCTTGCTCATCGTGTAAAATACAATCACATTGGTTCTCTTAATTTCTAAAGGACACACCTACACATCTTTTGGGTGCCCTATGGCACGTTTGATCTTTCTATCCCAGTTTAACTTGTTTATGTATTGTGTTCTTGACTTCCAGAATGACCGCCTCAAGATCTTCAACAGGGAGTTAGAGGAGAAGGCTGAATCATCCGAGTTGCAGATCAACTCCATCTCCTCCCAGTATCGAGATGTCTTGCAGGAAAAGGAGGTAAGCAGATCACACTCTTCAATTATTCTTGGCGAGATGTTGAGGTGAGCTTCTGATGTGGCATGTCCATTGTCTTCAGGGGTTTGTGCTATACCATCTGCTGATATGGGTGTGGCAATCACCTTATGGCTTGTCAGTACAGGGTGTCTAGTAGCACCACCTTAACATCACATGGCCTCTCAGTACAGGGTGTCTAGTAGCACCACCTTAACATCACATGGCCTCTGAGTACAGGGTGTCTCGTAGCAGGACCGTAACATCACATGGCCTCTCAGTACAGGGATGTCTTGTAGCAGAACCTTAACATCACATGGCCTCTCAGTACAGGGATGTCTTGTAGCAGAACCTTAACATCACATGGCCTCTAAGTACAGGGATGTCTTGTAGCAGGACCGTAACATCACATGGCCTCTCAGTACAGGGTGCCCTGTAGCAGGACCGTAACATCACATGGCCTCTCAGTACAGGGTGTCTTGTAGCAGGACCTTAACATCACATGGCCTCTCAGTATATGGTGTCTAGTAGCAGAACCTTAACATCACATGGCCTCTCAGTATATGGTGTCTAGTAGCAGAACCTTAACATCACATGGCCTCTCAGTACAGGGTATCTAGTAGCAGGACCTTAACATCACATGGCCTCTCATTACAGGGTGTCTCGTAGCAGGACCTTAACATCACATGGCCTCTGAGTACAGGGGTGTCCTGTAGCAGAACCTTAACATCACATGGCCTCTGAGTACAGGGTGTCTTGTAGCAGGACCTTAACATCACATGGCCTCTGAGTACAGGGTATCTAGTAGCAGGACCTTAACATCACATGGCCTCTCAGTACAGGGATGTCTTGTAGCAGAACCTTAACATCACATGGCCTCTCAGTACAGGGGTGTCCTGTAGCAGAACCTTAACATTACATGGCCTGTCAGTAAAGGGGTGTCTTGTAGCAGGACCTTAACATCACATGGCCTCTCAGTACAGGGGTGTCTTGTAGCAGGACCTTAACATCACATGGCCTCTCAGTAAAGGGGTGTCTTGTAGCAGGACCTTAAAATCACATGGCCTCTCAGTACAGGGGTGTCCTGTAGCAGAACCTTAACATCACATGGCCTGTCATTACAGGGGTGTCTTGTAGCAGGACCTTAACATCACATGGCCTCTCAGTAAAGGGGTGTCTTGTAGCAGGACCTTAAAATCACATGGCCTCTCAGTACAGGGGTGTCTTGTAGCAGAACCTTAACGTCACATGGCCTCTCAGTACAGGAGTGTCCTGTAGCAGGACCTTAACATCACATGGCCTCTTCAGTACAGGGATGTCTTGTAGCAGGACCTTAACATCACATGGCCTGTCATTACAGGGTGTCCTGTAGCAGGACCTTAACATCACATGGACCCTCAGTACAGGGGTGTCCTGTCGCAGAACCTTAACATCACATGGCCTCTCAGTACAGGGGTGTCAAGAAGCAGGACCTTAACTTCACATGGCCAGTCAGTACAGGGTGTCTAGTATCACGACCTTAACATCACATGGCCTCTCAGTAAAGGGGTGTCTTGTAGCAGGACCTTAACATCACATGGCCTCTCAGTACAGGGGTGTCCAGTAGCAGGACCTTAACATCACATGGCCTCTCAGTACAGGGTGTCCAGTAGAAGGACCTTAACATCACATGGCCTGTCAGTACAGGTTGTCTTGTAGAAGGACCTTAACACCACATGGCCTCTCAGTACAGGGGTGTCCAGTAGCAGGACCTTAACATCACATGGCCTCTCAGTACAGGGTGTCCAGTAGCAGGACCTTAACATTACATGGCCTGTCAGTACAGGGTGTCCTGTAGCAGGACCTTAACATCACATGGCCTCTCAGTACAGGGGTGTCCAGTAGCAGGACCTTAACATCACATGGCCTCTCAGTACAGGGGTGTCTAGTAGCAGGACCTTAACATCACATGGCCTGTCATTACAGGGTGTCCAGTAGCAGGACCTTAACATCACATGGACCCTCAGTACAGGGGTGTCCTGTCGCAGAACCTTAACATCACATGGCCTCTGAGTACAGGGGTGTCTTGTAGCAGGACCTTAACATCACATGGCCTGTCATTACAGGGTGTCCAGTAGCAGGACCTTAACATCACATGGACCCTCAGTACAGGGGTGTCCTGTCGCAGAACCTTAACATCACATGGCCTCTCAGTACAGGGGTGTCAAGAAGCAGGACCTTAACATCACATGGCCTCTCAGTACAGGGGTGTCAAGAAGCAGGACCTTAACGTCACATGGCCTGTCAGTACAGGGTGTCTAGTATCACGACCTTAACATCACATGGCCTCTCAGTACAGGGGTGTCCTGAAGCAAAAAAAATCGATTGTTGCTAAAACTTTCAGGCTTTGTACCAGGCTTTTCGAGAATACTTAAATATAATATTAGAATTGAGGGATGGTTACAGCAAAAGATACAAGAAACATTAAAAAACATTTATTTGGTAATTGAAATCCCAAGACAATGCTGACAAAATTATTAATCATCCTTTTCCAGTCACAAAGCAATGCATGCATTTCTATGTTGAAAACAAATAAAGTCATCCGTCTCAATCCCAAGGGGGTTAATGCTGATTTCCTGTGTAAGAGTAAATAACATTGACAGCTTTACGAGTTAACAGCCATTCAGTGTATTGTTGTGCACGGCTTTCTATATACAACTATATTGATGGGGCTTTGCTGATCGTAACTCAGTCTGAAATTGTGCGCCATTTTGTTCATAGGTGGGGTCTATGACTGAACATTATGGGGGGTTTATGGATTGGGCTACAGTTTATGGCTTTCACTGTAGAGGAAGGGGAAAATCCTTGTATTGTGTAACAAACACTCTATAGTTGTTGGAGTGTTTTATTTTGAAATTCAGGTACAGGCAGACTGAGCTTGCGATTCACAGGTCTGTCATGGTCACTGGGCTTGTTAGGCTGTACCTTGTTGGTTCTTTTCAAACATTGAGCTATCAGTTGTCTGTCTTCAGTGTTGAGGGGTGCAGTTTCTCTGTGGAAGTCAGAGTGTTTGTGAGAAGTTGTGTTATTGATATATAGGAGAAATGAATGTTTTGTGGCCACAATTATATTTCATGATAGCCGGTGAAAAGAACATTACCATGTTCATTTTTCAGGCAATATCTCGGAGGAACAAATTATGATATGCAAAATAACATCTGGCCCTGTTATTCAGTGGGAAAAAAATGAAATGGTATGACCTGAACTAAGTCTCACAGTGCCTTATCTCACAGAGTATTGTCTATTATTATTGATCATTTGTTTGTTTTATCTTTCACATATTTGTTTTTTTCTTAACTAAATATAAAGCCAGCCTTACCAATTACAGTGCAAGTTTTAATGGATGATTCTAGCAATCACCATTTAGAAATGGTTATGTTGAAAATGTAAATGTGTTCACTTGTCACCTGTTTAGGTCTTAAGTAAGCTTTTACTTTCATGTATGCCCATAAGTCTTTATGGCGGCCATGTTGAAAATGTTATTTTGCCTGCCTGTTACAAATAACCAACAAGTCAGGTGAGCTTCAGATCTTCATGGCTCTTTCTTTGTGTCTATGATAAGATATAGACCAGTTTATTCATGTTAACCCTCTAGGGTTTGCAGGGATTCACCTTGGTCTGCCCAGAGGCGGATATTCGGCCCAAAAAGACTGCAGCAAAAGACATTTACGAAAATTACCAATTTCTAATTTAGTATAATATCACAATCATTTTCCCAGTTTGCCTGCGGAAGGCTCTTAGTTTGAAATCCTAGATAAATCCCAGGGTTTGCCATGGTAACATGCTAGTTTGTGCAGTATGTGTTAGGGCCATTTTGAAAAATTGAAATTTCAGAACCGCAAACCTTCCTGTAGATCCAAAAGAAGAAGTTTGCTTTTAGCTAAGGGTGAGGATATGTATTACATGTAGACATAAACCCTCCTTGTGTTTTAAAAGTTGAATTATTGATAAAGATTTTCCAAGAACTTCTTGAAATCTTGTCTCATATCGGCATGATTGTAGTTGGTTATTCATAGGTTAGCGCCGTCCTCATGGGTGATATGAAGTCCATATCACCTGCAGAGAGGGAGCACTAACCAACTTACGCCACGTTGTGAACTAACACTTGCGCCTCTCATGTCTGAATTGAGAGAAAATGGACATAATGCAGCCTAGTGGTATGATAAGAAAAATGACCTTTTAGTGCATGGACATTTTAGTGAATCTCTGAGAAATATATGTTTATCTACAAACTGATCATGACAATTGGCTTATCCATTTCCTTTGTTTTGGTTGTTAGCAAAGTGAGCAAGATGGAGTTTAACATTGCTCCAGTATGTTAGCAAAGTGAGCAAGATGGAGTTTAACATTGCTCCAGGATGTTAGCAAAGTGAGCAAGATGGAGTTGAACATTGCTCAAGAATGTTAGCAAAGTGAGCAAGATGGAATTTAACATTGCTTCAGTATGTTGGCAAAGTGAGCAAGATGGAGTTTAACATTGCTTCAGTATGTTGGCAAAGTGAGCAAGATGGAATTTAACATTGCTACCGTTTGTGAGCAAGATGGAGTTTAACATTGCTTCAGTATGTTGGCAAAGTGAGCAAGATGGAGTTTAACATTGCTTCAGTATGTTAGAAAGGTGAGCAAGATGGAATTTAACATTGCTTCAGTATGTTAGCAAAGTGAGCAAGATGGAGTTTAACATTGCTTCAGTATGTTGGCAAAGTGAGCAAGATGGAATTTAACATTGCTACCATTTGTGAGCAAGATGGAGTTTAACATTGCTTCAGTATGTTAGCAAAGTGAGCAAGATGGAGTTTAACATTGCTTCAGTATGTTATCAAAGTGAGCAAGATGGAGTTTAACATTGCTTCAGTATGTTAGCAAAGTGAGCAAGATGGAGTTTAACATTGCTTCAGTATGTTAGCAAAGTGAGCAAGATGGAGTTAACATTGCTTCAGTATGTTAGCAAAGTGAGCAAGATGGAG